GTGAGTGCAGTAGGTCATAGAATCATTTAGCGTAAAAATGACCCTTAGGTCCATCGAGCCTGCACTGTAGATCTATACTGGTCCCACTTTCTAGCACTTGGCCCATAGCCTTGAATTTTATGACATTTCAAGTGCTTATCCAAGTACTTTTTAAAGGTTGTGAAGTTTTCTGCTTCAACTACTGTACCAGGCAGTACATTCCAGATTCTCAAAAGCCACTGAGTGAAAAAACAAATTCCTCAAATCCCTGTAAACCTATTGCCTTTCACCTGCTCATTTTCCCTGACCAAACTTTGCCTCTCCTAGTGGGGATTAATGCTGTCCTTCAGAATTATCTCCGATAATTTCCCATGCCTTGAGTGTGCCCTGAGATGTTGCCAATGCTGCCCAATATGGAAGCCTGAAGAAGAGGTCATTGAGCTGCAGCCAAAAGTTAACCACTATCATTTTCAAGGTGGAAATTCTTACTAGTACCTGGGAGAATAACAACTTGCATGTAAACAATGCAATGAGCTAATAGTGCAATGTTAAATTATGCAAATACACTCCTTGCTGTGTTCTAACGAGAATCCCATTGAAACCTGAATGGGAAAATCTGATTTTTTTTCACAATGTTGAGAAGCTCATTTTTTCCATTCTTGCCATACTTTCTGAACTTCTTTCGTGATTGCCCAAGCTGTTCAGCCACTGGGAAAATCCAGTACAGTGTTTTGAAACCTTTTGAGTGTTGTGGCTTTTAACAATAGAAATGAGTTAGATGTCCAAGTCAATCTAAATGAGAAGAAAAAAATACAGGTATTAATACAATACCCTGTAATCTAATCAGAGATTAAGATGCATAGGATCCATGGTGACTTGGCTGCTTGGATTCAGAATGCGCTTGCCCATAGGAGGCAGAGGATAGTTGTGGAAGGTGGTGTTTTTCAGGCTGGAGGTCTGTGATTAGTGGTATTCCGCAGGGATCCGTGCTGGGACCTCTGCTGTTTGTGATAAATGTAAATGATTTGGATGAAAATGTAGATGGGTAGGTTAATAAGTTTGCAAATGATATAAAGATCGGTGGAGTTGTGGGTAGAGTAGAAATTGTCAAAGGATACAGCAGGATATAGATCAGTTGTGGATATGGGTGGAGAAATGGCAGTTGGAGTTTAATCCGGGTAAGTGTGAGTTGCTGCACTTTGGGAGATCAAATGTCAAGGAAAAGTATACAGTTAATGGCAGGACTCTGAACAGCATTGATGTACAGAGGGAGCTTGGTGTTCAAGTTCCCTGAAAGTGGCCAAGCAGCTAAAGAGGGCGTATGTCATGTTTGTCTTTATTGGTCGGGGGATTGAGTACAAGAGTCAGGATGTCGTGTTGCAGCTTTATAAGACTTTGGTTAAGACACACTTAGAGTATGGTGTTCAATTCTGGTTGACACATTACAGTAAGGATGTGGAGGCTTTGGAGAGGGTGCAGAAGAGGTTTACCAGAATGCTAGACAACAAGGTGCAGAGCTGGATGAACACAGCAGACCAAGCAGCATCATAGGAGCAGAAAGGCTGACGTTTCGGGCCTAGACCCTTCATCAGAAATCGGGGAGGGGAAGGGGGTTCTGAAATAGATAGGGAGAGAGGGGGAGGCGGATAGAAGATGGATAGAGGAGAGGATAGGTGGAGAGGAAACAGACAGGTCGAAGAGGCGGGGATGGAGCCAGTAAAGGTGAGTGTAGGTGGGGAGGTAGGGAGGGGATAGGTTAGTCCAGGGAGGACGGACAGGTCAAGGGGGCGGGATGAGGTTAGTAGGTAGGAGATGGGGTTGCGGCTTGAGGTGGGAGGAGGGGATAGGTGGGAGGAAGAACAGGTTAGGGAGGCGGGGACAAGCTGGACTGGTTTTGGGATGCGGTAGGGGGAGGGGAGATTTTGAA